TGCCCCTCCCCAGTCCAATACTGGCACCTCCACGTCATGCCATTCTCATTGACAAAGATTGCAACCAAGTAGGAAGCTATCAAAATAACCTTTGGTCTTCCATTTCCATGTGAGCGATGGTTTCATCAACACAACTGAAGATCAGGTATATTTAAATTTTATCTAGAAAAAGAAAACTATTTGAGGTGAAGAACTTATAATGAAAGGTATCATTTAATGGGAAGGATATAATTGAACTAGAGGGGGTACAGATGAGGTTCACCAGGATGTTGCTTGGGATGGGACAGTTTTACTACAAGTAGAGGCTGGATAGGTTCTGAAGAACAGTTCTAAACAGTTCTGAAGAAGGGTCACTGGACTGGAAATGTTAACTCTATTTGTCTCTCCACAGACACTGCCAGACCTGCTGAGTTTCTCCAGCAAATTCTGTTTTTGTTTCTGTACAGGCTCGGGTTGTTTTCTGTGGATCAGAGAAGGTTGAGGGAAAACCTGACAGAGGGGTATAAGGTTATGGAGGGGCTTGGACAGAGTGAACTGGAAGCAGCTGTTCCCCTTAGTTGAACAGTCAATAAAACAAGTGGCCGAATTTTAAAGTGAATTGTAGAAAGTTTAGAGAGGATAGGATAGGAGGAAAACTGTTCTTTCACACACAGGATAGTGGCCATTTGGAATGCACTACCTGAAAGGGGAGTAGAGGCAGAAAAACTCATAACATTTAAAAAGCACTTATATGAGCACTTGAAGTGTTAGGACATCCAAGATTATGAGCCAAGTGCTGGAAAGTGGGACTAGTGCATTTTTTTTGTCAGTGCAGACTTGATGGAATGAAGGGCCTCTTCTGTACTGTATGGTTCCATGATTATATGAGTTATCTTAAATTTGGATTTTAAATTAATAGTATATTGGTATTGGACCTTTTTTTTTAGAGATTTAACATCCTTGGCAAACCAATATGTGTCGTGAGAGCAGATGATAGAAAGCCTTCTGGACAGTTAATGGAAGGTTCTTTGTATTGTGGGGGTCTTAGGACAGGAAAGAGAAAATGCTGAAATATATTCAATTGTTTTTGGGTTTAGAATAATCAAGAATTGAGTTTATCTTAGAAAACTCAGAGATGGGTAATATTTTGGTTCCATTCGAAGGAAACCTGATTAAAGTCAAATGTAAGGACCATATTTCCCAGAAAAAAAACAGCTTGCTCGAGCAGTTAGGGAATAAATTACATTAGGGTAAGGATCTCAGTTGTGTGGGAGACAAAGCTCAAGGTTTCATATCTCACAAGACTGGAATTGAAAAGAAGCAGTGAAGTCCATCCACAGTTTTGATAGGGAAGGAACACATTTAATTTTGATTAACTGCGAAATTCAGGTGTTGTGAAATAAGTATAATTTTGTTTTGCTGGTCATTGAAATCTTCTAATCTGTGCAATATGTAGATAGGTTGGTCTGGTTTAGAACATAAGAACATAGGAACAAGGAGCAGGAGTAGGCCGTCTGGCCCTTCGAGCCTACTCCGCCATTCAATAAGATCATGGCTGATCTTTTCGTGGACTCAGATCCACTTACTCGTGTTCTCACCGTATCCCTTAATTCCTTTATTGTTCAAAAAAAATCTACCTTTTTTTTAAAAACATTTACTGAAGTAGCGTCAACTACTTCACTGGGCAAGGAATTCCATAGATTAACAACCCTCTGGGTGAAGAAATTCCTTCTCAGTTCAGTCCTAAATCTGCTTCCTCTAATGTTGAGCTTATGCCCTCTTGTCCTAGCTTCACCTGCCAGTGGAAACATCCTCTCTACCTCTATCTTATCTATTCCCTTCATAATTTTATATGTTTCTATAAGATCCCCCCTCAATCTTCTGAATTCCAATGAATATAATCCCAATCTACTCAGTCTCTCCTCATAAGCCAACCCCCTCAACATAGAACATAGAACATAGAACATTACAGCGCAGTACAGGCCCTTCGGCCCTCGATGTTGCGCCGACCTGTGAAACCAATCTGAAGCCCATCTAACCGAAACTATTCCATTATCATCCATATGTTTATCCATATGTTTATCAACTCCGGAATCAACCTAGTGAACCTCCTTTGCATCCCCTCCAGTGCCAATACATCCTTTCTCAAGTAAGGAGACCAAAACTGCACACAGTACTCTAGGTGTGGCCTCACCAGCACCTTGTACAGCTGCAACATAACCTCTCTGCTTTTTATTTCAATCCCTTTAGCAATGAAGGACAAAATTCCATTTGCCTTCCTAATTACTTGTTGTACTTGCAGACCTACCTCCTGTGATTCATGCACAAGGACACCCAGGTCCCTCTGCATAGCAGCATGCTGCAACTTTTTACCATTCAAGTAATAATCCTTTTTACTATTACTCCTACCAAAATGTATGACTTCACATTTATTTACATTGTATTCCATCTGCCAGACATTTGCCCACTCACTCAATGTATCTATGTTCCTCTGCAAAGTTTCACAGGCCTCTACACACTTTGCTCTGCCACTCATCTTAGTGTCATCTGCAAACTTTGACATCCTACACGTGGTCCCCAACTCCAAATAATCTATATAAATTGTAAATAATTGCGGTCCCAACACCGATCCCTGAGGCACACCACTAGTCACTGACTGCCAGCTAGAATAGCACTCATTTATCCCCACTCTTTGCTTCCTGTTAGTCAACCAATCCTCTATCCATGCTAATACTTTACCCTTAATACCATGCATCCTTATCTTATGCAGTAGTCTCTTGTGCGGCACCTTGTCAAAGGCCTTTTGGAAATCTAGGTACACCACATCCACTGGGTCCCCATTGTCCACCTCGCTCGTAATGTCTTCATAGAATTCCAAAAGATTTGTCAAGCATGACCTGCCCTTCATGAACCCATGCTGCATCTGCCCAACGGGACAATTTCTATCAAGATGCCTTGCTATTTCTTCCTTGATAATAGACTCAAGCATCTTCCCCACTACAGAGGTTAAGCTAACCGGTCTATAATTCCCCATCTTTTGTCTACTTCCCTTTTTAAACAGTGGCGTCACATTTGCTGTTTTTCAATCTGCTGGGACTGCCCCAGAGTCCAGCGAACTTTGGAAAATTACCGCCAATGCACCTGCTATTTCTCCCGCCATCTCTTTTAGTACCCTGGGATGCATTCCATCAGGGCCAGGAGACTTATCAATCCTTATCTCCATTAGCTTGCCCAACACTACCTCTTCCATAATAATGATTGTTTCCAGGTCCTCACCTACCTTCGTCTCTTTGTCAATTACTGGCATGTTATTAGTGTCCTCCACTGTGAAGACCGATACAAAATACCTGTTCAATGCCTCGACCATTTCATCATATCCCATAACTAAATTCCCCTTCTCATGCTCTAAAGGGCCAACGTTTACTTTAGCCACTCTTTTTCGTTTTATATATTTATAGAAACTTTTCCTATCTGTCTTTATATTCTGCGCTAGTTTTTTCTCATGTTCTATCTTACTTTTCTTTATAGCTCTTTTTGTGGCTTTCTGTTGACCTTTAAAGTTTTCCCAATCTTCTGGTTTCATGCTGTTTTTGGCCACTTTGTATGCCTTCTCTTTCAATTTGATAGCCTCCCTTATTTCTTTAGACACCCATGGCAGATTACCCCTTTTCTTACAGTCCTTCCTTTATTTCATTTTCCTTTCTGTTGTGTGATATACTTCTGTTTGATTGCTAAAAGCAAATCTGCACACTTCTGTGTTTATAGTTTACTGAAGGACTGTCACATGAAATTATAAAAAAAGGATGATCCACCAAGCCAGATATTATTCTGGAATCTGTCTGGGAGTATCATCAGCTGGAATCATTACAAACTTATAGGAACTGAAATGGCTAGTTGTTTTAAAAGAAAACAATGTTTTCTATTTGCCATTTTAAAACTTCTTTTTATTCACTCATAGGATGTGAGTAACTCTGGCTAGGCCAACATTTATTGCCTGTCGCTAACTGCCCCTTGAGAAGGTAGTGGTGAGCTGCCTTCTTGAACTGCTGCAGTCTATGCGCTGTAGGTAAACCCACAATGCCCTTAGGGAGGGAATTCCAGGATTTTGACCCAGCGACATTGAAAGAATGATGATTTATTTCCAAGTCAGCATGGTGAGTGCCTTGGCGGGGATCTTGAAGGTTCCAGCTATGAATAAAATTTCCACATGCAGGAAGAAAAGGTGGGTGATAAGTGATGTGATGAAAAATTAGAAAAGGTGATGGAATCCTATGAACAAATGTTCCTTGAAATGTTGTGCTCTTTCAGTAAGCTATGAAGCTATCAGTAGCTAATCAATACTGTGTGGATTAATATAGTGGGCTGTTGCTAATAACTGGGCATCATCATTTTATACATACAAACTGGTTTGTTCTTGCTGTTCTTATCTTTAAATGACAAATGATAATGACATAGAGTAGCACAAAATGAGAAGGTAACAAGCTCCTCAAACTTGTTCCGCCATTCAATTAGATAATGGATAATTTGTACTTTAATTCAATCTGTCCATTTCAGTTCCATAACCCTTGATACCCCCTATTAACAAACGCTAACAAATCTCATTCATTTCCATTTGGCCCCCAGCCTCAGCAGCTATTTTGGAAGAGAGAGTTTCAAATTTTCACTACGCTGTTCTGATGAAATGCTTCCCGACATCACTTCTGAATGGCCTTAGTCTAAATTTATACCAAACTTAAACAAAGCACTGCAGATGCTGGAGCTCTGAAACAACCAAAAAGAGAAAGTGCTGGAAAAACTGAGCAGGTCCGCCAGCATCTGTGGAGAGAAAACAGAGCTAACGTTTCAGGTCAGGTGACCTTTCCTCAGAAATGTTAACTCTGTTTCTCTCTCCACAGACCTGGTGAGTTTCTCCAGTACTTTCTGCTTCAGCTTGTTAAGGTTATGCAATCTTCTTTTGTAATTCTGTCACTCGTGCAAATAACTGAAGCTTGCCAATGCGACATTCCCATAAGAAAGCTCACCTCCTCTAAATGCACAATGAAGGTGATGTTCTGTCCTGAGTCAGTGGCCAGTCTGCCGTTGCTGGTGATGAGGTGTAAACCCCATGGGGCCCGGCTAGAGCATTGATGCTGCTTGGCAGCGTACTGATCTCTGACCCCATCAGTGCAATTGTTAGAGCCAACTTTTCTGTAACTGTATAAATGGAAAAACATTGAGTTAAAGTCAAATTTTAGCATTTGCCGTCCTTCACTGTAGTCTTGCATATCTGGCACATGAATAACTACTTCATTGTGGTGACCAACTACCTGAATAATTAACTGGATAAAACATAATTCATCAGTGAGTTGGAGAGGAGGAGAGTTGGACTTTAATCAGAAGCGAGATAAATAAATGTAAAAACAAAGAATTGAAGGTTATCAGTTGCGTGGAAGGAAGTTGGATGGCATAGACCAGTTGAGTTGAATGACTGAGCGCAGAAGAGGGTTTACTGAACTCAAAACGTTAACTCCACTTTCGCTCTCTATAGATGCCGCCCGACCTGCTGAGCTTTTCCAGCAATTTCTGCTTTTATTTGAGCTGAATGACATGCTTCTGTACTGAGCACTGTTGTGTAATTTTGTAGACCTTTTCCATTTTGGAAACCAAAGAGTTGCTCCAAGTTAGGGATAATGGGGATTGACAGAGAGATCTGAATTTGTCTGCTGAGCTAGGATATTCAACCCGAGGTGTCTCTTTGGAGAGACCTTATGTGCTGACACTGACGCCATGCTGAGGACTTGATGTTGAATCCGTGGCGGAAATCTGGGTGATTGAAGTAATAAAACAAGGCTCATAATTTGGTTTGATTCCCAATCCTGCTGGAAGCCTGAGGTGAACATAATCTTGGCTGGTTACTCTTTGTGGATTTTTTTTGATTTTAAATCAGCTTTCTGATCAAATTCCTGATCTCAAAGAAAGCAGATGGAAAATCTCAACAAAGGGAAAAGAACTTTTCTTTCAACCAGGAGAGAGCCGTGTCAATAGCTTGATGCTGTTGCATGCTGATTGTGCAGTAACAGTACAATAATAAGAAGACAGAAGTGCTGGGAATTGAAAAGGGATAATGTAAATGTTCTCTTTACAAAGGCTTACTGGCTTTATTTTAAGCAAAACACCACTTCAAATCATGATAAAGATAAAAGCATAAATACAGAGCTAAAATCAATCTGCCTGTTCTCATCATAATATGTGTTTCTTAATTTCCTGTAAATACGTATGAACCTTCTAGGGTTGCCAGCAATTTGTCTTTATCTTGTTTTCTGCCGTCTGCTAGTAGGGAATAGAGTGCCCTGCATAATGTCGACTCCTGCGGTGTTGCTAATTTCAGTGCCCAGCCCCTTCAATCTTTCCCACAGAACTAATAAACAGGTTTCTGCCAGTGCCTCAAGCTTCGTAAAGGATTTGATTTAGTTTCACAGAGTCCCTGCTGTTCCGGAATTGTGCAGCCACCATTTTCTGACCATGTGATTTGCTACAAATGCAGAACACATCTACCCAGTGACAAACTTCATTGTTTCAGCCAAGAATTTAATGGAACAAAAGAGGTGAGGGCTGTGTGTGGAGAATTGTCACTTCGATAACGAAGTGTGACAGGTGAGAAGTCTGCAGCTGAATCCCACAACAGAACAGCAAAATCATTGGAAGGAACAACGAGGAAGCCCTACTTTCCCATAGCAATTTTGCCACTTTTTCTGTAATTGTTTCCAGTTTTTTTTTTATCCGTACTTCTGGATTGGCTAATCCATAATGGCTAAAAGAAGCACAGGAGGAGTGGCACATGTTTTTTTTTCTCTCACTCCTGACCCCAATAGAGATGTAGCACTTCATCTGCAAAAGAAATCTGTCCAAGGACTGAGCTGGGAATTTGTGAAAGGTCATCCATGAGACTCTAAATTCAAATACCATTTAAAGATAGCCCCAAGAGCAAGAATTCAAATCAATACACTGACCTAATCAAACGTCAAGCAATGTTTTGAACTACATTGCACGGTGAAAGAAAGAAGCTTTTCAGCTTGCTGTTTCTAGGGAAAGGCCAGAATGAACTGACCTTGATCTCTGTAAGGGGCAGTTGGATGTGTCTAACAATTCACAGGTAATCAGGCAAGTGCAAACATAGCAGTACCACAGCAGCGTACTCACCCTGTGCTGTTGAGGTAGCTCTGCCCCGTGCTACACTCCATTGCCATGAAAGATGGATTGTACCAGAAAGCTGGTAGGCACCTTCCATCAGAGTGTCGCTCATATCCATAGTCACTGTCCCGTTGTAAATGAAAGAGCAAGAGAGAGAGACATTGGAATACTAAAATTAGCATGAAGTAAATATATTTTTTTCAAAGTCCAGCAACATTATTCACCAAAGCAAAGACAACATGACCAACTTTCCTCAAGGGGTTCCAGCGAACCATAACCTGCATTTACATAGCACCTTTAATGTACTAAACGCCCCAGGTATTTCACAGCAGTACTACCAAAATAAAATTAAACACCAAGCCACACAGGGAGGTATTAAGGGTGATGGCAAAAGGGCTACATTTTTTAAGGCTATCTTAAGAGGCAGGTAGAGATGTGGAGTGGTTAGCAGGAGCTCAAGGAGTAGTTATCTGAAGATACAGCAACTAAGGAAGGAGCAAAGGGAAATGTGAATGTGTCTGGTTGGGTTGGGGGCGTGGGGGGTGGGTTTCCAGTGATAGGGAGGAGAACTGAAGCCATGGAGGGATTTGAAAATAAGGATCAGCAGTCTAATTCTGTGGAGAGTCCTAAGTACACTGTCTCTATGGCGAGATTAGAACATCCCAAATTCCACATTCCAAGGTGTGAAAGGTATGTGTACCATCCTGGCATAATGCAGTCTCTTCTAGTATCTACACTGTGAACGAGAGTTTCAGAGATTTGGGGAATCATAGGACATTGGAGGACCACTGCAGCAGGTTATGAAGACTTAGGAAGGTACATAAATAATATTGGACATGGTTTCATTCTAATGCATCAGCTGTGCTCAGCTTAAGCAAGACATTTTTTTAAAAATTCATTTATAGGATGTGGACATCACTGGCCAAGCCAGCATTATTGCCCATCCCTAATTGCCCAGCGGGCAGTTAAGAGTTAGCCACATTGCTGTGGGCCTGGAGTCACATGTAGGTGAGACCAGGTAAGGATGGTAGTTTCCTTCCCTAAAGGACATTTGTAAACCAGATGGGTTTTTCCCAATGATCGACAATGGATTCACGGTCATCATTAGACTCTTAATTCCAGATTTTTATCGATTTCAAATAGCACTTTTAATGTACCTTTAATCCCTGGAGGAATTTGAACCCAAATCCCCAGAACAATACCTGGGTATCTGGATTAACAGTGCAGCATTAATACCACTGGTCCATTGCCTCCCCTTTTTCTCAGCCAAAAACAGAAATTGCTGGAGAAACCCAGTAGGTCTAGCATGATCTGTGGACAGAGAAACAGAGTTAACGTTCCAGGTTCGGTGACCCTTCATTGGAAATGGACTCAAAATGTTGACTTTGATTTCACTCCACAGATACTGCCAGACCTGCTGAGTTTCTCCAATAATTTCTGTTCTTGTTTCAGGTTTCCAGCATCCACCGTTCTTTATTCATTTTAACATTTGATTAAAAAAACAGAAATTGCTGGAGAAACTCGGCAGGTCTGGCAGCATCTGTGGAGGGAAAACAAAGTCAACGTTTTGAGTCCAGTTCTGATGAAGGGTCACTTGCCTCAAAACATTAACTCTATTTCTTTCTTCACAGATGCTGCCAGACCTGCTGAGTTTCTCCAGCAATTTCAATTTTTGTTTCAGATTTCCAGCATCTGCAGTTCTTTGTTTCATATTAGTGTAGTTTTTATGTTTGTTTTCTTTTTGGCTATTCATATTGATAATGTCAGACTGCTTGGGCAATGCTAAGACATTCACAACAATTCTACATAAAAACTGAAAGAACTGCGGATGCTGTAAATCAGGAACAAAAACAGAAGTTGCTGGAAAAGCTCGGCAGGTCTGGTAGCATCTGTGAAGGAAAAAACAGAGTTAACGTTTCGGGTCCGGTGACCCTTCCTCAGAACTAAATTCCAGACCCAAAACGTTCACTCTGATTTTTTCTTCACAGATGCTGCCAGACCTGCTGAGCTTTTCCAGCAACTTTATTTTTGTTCACATCAATTCTACGTTCCTTTTAAATAACAAATGCTTTTGGCCGTGCTATTTTATGGAATTGTGTTGAGATTGTATCAGTCATTCACGTCAAAAATATATAATGCCATCTGCTCAATTTTCTCAAGAGCAAGCACAACTTCTATTTCCCACAACATATTGATTCATCAACATCACATTCAATGACCAACAAAGGGCATTCTTCCATGCAGTGAATAGATTTCTTAAATTCGCAGAGATTGGAACTACAGAAGGGAGCTGGCTTAAGAGCTTGACATTTGACTGGAAAATATAAGATTTCACTCAAGGGAGAAGAGAAATGTGTGAAAGTGGATGAGGGCACAGACCTCGGATTAATTACGAACCTCAGATAGCTGCTGTTTGACCTTCCGACCACTGCTTCCTGCAATGTCTCTTGATATCTTTGAATCTGTAAGCAACTGCTCAGTAGAACCATCATGAAGAAGTGCATATATCAAACGGTGATTTTGAATCCATTGATTGGGAACTTGAACTTTTAAGAACAAACTTTTAAAACAACCAGCTGAAGAAGGTGACTGGAAATTGTTGAAGGTGCAACTAAATGGTGACTCACTGGCTATCACTGCTGCTTCACAATGCCATTGACCCAGGTTTGATTCCACCCTCGGGTGCCTGTCTGTGTGGAGTTTGCACGTTCTTCCTGTGACTGCGTGGGTTTCCTCCGGGTGTTTCAGTTTCCCCCCACAGACCAAAGACATACAAGTTAGGTGGATTGGCCATGGTAAAAATGTTGGTTTACTGGGATAGAGTAGGAGGCTGGGTCTGGATGGTATGCCCTCCAGAGGATCGGTTCAGACTTGATGGGCCAAATGACCTCTGCCTGCACTGTAGGGCTTCTGTTATTTAAACCTAGTTTCCAGCTCCCCATGAGACTGTTTTAATGCCACAACCTGCTTTAACTGTAGGAATGTACAGGGCGTGTTTGCTCAGTTGTGGTCGAGTGAAATTGAATCAGCAGTTTAACTCTTGTATTGAACAAGAAGAACTGCAGATGCTGTAAATTAGGAACAAAAACAAAGTTGCTGGAAAAGCTCAGCAGGTCTGGCAGCATCTGTGGAGGAGAAAACAAAGTTAACGTTTCGGGTCCGGTGACACTTCCTCAGAAGTAGTTTGTTCCATGGTATCAACTAGTTACAGGTTATATTCGCATGACAGATGTGTGTCTTAAAGGTATATGGACATATTGACTGTGAGATGCAACAGTTACAGTTTACAGGAGATATAATAGACATTGTTATGGAGACTATGAGCTGGATCTTCTCCAAGATCCTGATCTGTTCTCCCACAAGTCCAGATGGCATCATTATAGTGGATGCTGCATATGGTGCTTTTCATTTCAAACCCTCACACAGTGATACAGCTGAAACAATAGCATTAAGCCAGCTACCTCCATTTACATTACTGTGCAGTCTACATTCCACATCAGCCTGTGGGTTTGCAGAGACCCCACCAGAGAAATCAAACCCCGAGGAATATGAAAGATTCCCCTTCCGTGTCATTAACATGATTTCAAGATGAACACCCAAGATTCAACTGTTGGTAAATAGGACATTAAGTCAACATGAGTGATGAGATAATGGCAAATCAGACATGAATTAATCAAGCTGTCTTTTGGAATATACAAACAAGAGCGTCGTTTGGATTCTCTGCAGTGATCATCCTCATGATAATGATACGATACAAAATATAGCCCCAAGAATGTACAGATCTAATGTAGTTCCTTTAGTACAGAAGAATTCAATGAACATTAATTATAGCATCTGCTATCTGCATAAACACAGTTGCACCACAGGCACTTGCATGTCTGGGCTCAAGCTGAACAATTTGATTAACAATAGTACAGTTCCCTCAGCATGTCATGCTGCAAGAGGACTCAGTAAAATGGAGAGTGAGACTTCTATAAAAAGTCTTGGAGTCCTTTAGATATACAGTGCAGAAACAAACCCTTCAGTCCAACTTGTCCATGCCGACCAAATATCCTAAATTAATCTCGTCCCATTTGCCAGCATCTGGCTCACATCCCTCTAAACTCTTCCTATTCATTTACCCATCCAGATGTCTTTTAAACAGTGTAATTGTACCAGCCTCTACCACTTCCTTATTCCATACATGCACCATCCTCTGCTTGAAAAAGTAGCCCCTTAGGTTCTTTTTAAATCTTTCCCCTCTCACCTTAAGCCTATGCCCTCTAGTTTTGGACTCCCACTCCCTGGGGAAAAGACCTTGGCTATTTATCCTACCCATGTCCTTCATGGTTTTATAAACCTCTATAAGGTCACCCCCTCAGCCTCCGACACTGCAGGGAAAATAGTCCCAGCCTATTCAACCTCTCCATATAGCTCAAATCCCCCAATCCTGGCAACATCTTTGTAAACCTTTTCTGAACCCTTTCAAGTCTCACAACATCTTTCCGATAGGAGGGAGACCAGAATTAAATGCAGTATTCCAATAATCACCTAACCAATGTCCTGTATAGCTGCAACGTGACCTCCCAACTCCTATACTCAATGCACTGACCAATAAAGGCAAGCATACCAAATGTTTTCTTCACTATCCCATTTACCTGTGCCTCCACTTTCAAGGAACTATGAACCTGCACCCAAAGGTCTGCAGGGAGCAGTTGGAGGGCAGAACAGCAGCACAGAGTAAGTATAAAACTAACTGAGCTCAGGGATCGTGACCTAGTCTGCAGGGAGCAGTTGGAGGGAGGAGCAGCGGCACAGAGTGAGTATAAAACTAACTAAGCTCAGGGCATATTGTAGCTGCAAAAAATTAACTGGAGTGATGACATAGGAAAGCTATGACCTGATTGGCTGGTAGGAAATCTGCACTAATTTTGAAAAAGAACACAGCAAAAAAAATTAATAAACTCATTAATAAATTTATATAAATGAATAAAATGATTAACCAAGTCGAGATGGCTGGACAGATAATGTGTTGTAGCTGTATGATGTGGAAGCTGGCTGATCCCATTGCAAAATGCAGTGATCACATCTGCAGCAAATGCTGGTTGCTCGAGGATCTTTGGCTCAGAGTTGATGAGCTGGAA